ACTGCGGAATACCACAAACCTTTACCAAACTCATTCAACAACTATATGAAGACGCCACATGCCAAGTAATTCACAATGGAAAGCTCAGTGATGCCTTTGAAGTGAGGACAGGAAGGAGTAAGACAAGGCTGTCTACTATCATCCATGATATTCCTGATTGTGGTCTAGTGAACTGGACTGGATCATGCAGCAGACAATAGTGAGGAGCGAGAGGAGGGGGATACCTTGGCTGGACTGCGGAAAAGATCCTAGAAGATTTGGATTTCGTCGATGGCTTATCTCTAATGCCACACAAACTTGAAGATGTACAGGCGAAAACTAACAAGTTGACAGAGGAGGCAGGGCAGGGCAGGGAAGCGGAGACCGACTTCAAGTGAACGTAGAGAAGACAGAGTGATGAAGATACGCAACCAACAACAACGATCTCCGATCACCATCAATGGGAGAAACTTGAAGGAAGTAGTCTCTTTCACCAACCTGCCTGCCTAGGCAGCATCGTTTCAACTACAGACGGCACAGGCATAGACGAGGATGTCAAAGTCATGATCGGAAAGATAGCAAGACAGGCGTTCATTCACCTGAAACCAGTGTGGAGATCTTCTGCACTCAGCATAAGGCGTGAACAATATCCGGATTTCCAACGCCAACGTCAAGTCAGTCAGTGTTTCTATGTGGTGGTTGAGAGACTTGGCGCGTTACGAAAAGCATTTCCAACAAACTACAGACATTCATCAACGAGTGCCTACTCTGGCTCGTTACTGAAGCTCAGATGGCGAGAACAATAAGAATAAGCAACAAGGAACTCTGGCTGGCTAGCTAGCTAGCTGGCTGGCTGGCTGGCTGGCAGGCAACAGACTAACGAAGCAAGAACATATCACTCAACAAATATTCAGTGGAGATGGATTGGGTTGGGCATACACTGAGAAGGCCGACTGGAGACATCAGGCGTCAGGCCGGTCGGTTGAGTGGAACGCAGATGGGAAACGGTGAGTTGGGCGTCTGAGATGAGGGTGACATAGAGGATATGGTGTGAGGAAGAAATGAGAGCTTGTGGGTTGTCGTGGTGCCAGTTTGCAGTGTTTGCAGAGAAGAGAGTGGAGTGTAGACGTGCTACTGAAACCGAATGTTCCATTAGGAACTCAAGGTACAAATAATGATACTAATAAAATATATAGATGTGTATGTATGTATTTCATTTTATTGTTGAATCTTCACTGGATTATGATTGTTTTTTAGTATCGATACTAATGTAGATTTTGGTTATGTATCTGAAGAAGCTCGAAACTTGCGAAACTTGAATTTCAGTTAGCTTCGCTCATCAAGAAAATTTGGAACAAGTGGTTTAGGTTGATCGGATATTTTAAAACTGTTCAATTGATGAACATGAGGTGTTAATCTATGGATTAAGGCTTCCAGCTTGGACGTAGAATATGTAAAGCTGGAAAGACTCATGGTGAATCAATTTAAGTTGACGGGGAAAAATTCACCTGATTGTTATCATCAGTGGAATCACCTTTAAAACCACACTGGCTTAATTCTGAGGACATTATTAATACCATCAAAACTTTAGGAATTCTGATTACCATTCTGGTAAGTAGATCTAAGGGAGACATATAATATATTAATTTGCTCTCTAAGTAATTCTTAGCTGTGATTTTCTAGATTTCATTCATTTTAGAACTGTTTAAGCAGTATTTGACCTGAGTTGACCCACTGATAATGTAAGGTTCTCAAGTTTAAACCATTTTCATGTAAAGTCAGTATCATAATGGTGTGTAGTACTGTGTGGTGAATCTAATAAATCAATAAAGATAGAATTACATTCTGCCACATTGCACAAGTTGTTCTCTCATATTAATCCTTTAAGTCTGTTTACACAACTGATTGTCTTTAAATTCATTGAGAACTTAGTGGGACTGAGATGATCAAACCGCCTTTCTGTGTTTATATGCTGTTTTTCATTAGACTTTGACATTATTGATGGATCGTGGCTAGCAGTGCAATCCATTTCGCATTTCGTCCTATTTGTGACTTGTCAGCTGGATGTACCTGCTTCCCAGTGAGCGATGTTGTTCCCACCGGGAAGCAGGTGCATCCAGCTGACGAGTCCCAAATAAGACGAAATGCGAAATGGATTCCACTGCTAGCCACGATCCATCAATAACATAATTAGATTGCTGGCAATATCGAGGCATCCACACAGGAGGCCATATGCTAATAGAGACTGATCAATTCGGTCCAATCAACAACGGTATCATACGTTAACCCTTATGCTAAAGACTTAAACATTATTTGGTGAATTCGAGTTTGAAGCAGAAGTCAATGCATTCCTATATATTCCCGTTATTCTGACCCTCAATTTGGCCTTCTCGTTAGCTTAATGCTCCCACACTCTCATGAAACGCTACGTAACTTTCTGTTTAGCCCTGTTCAGATTTCAAGGGTCATTATGTTTTCGGAAATGAATTCAGTCCGCTTTTCATACGACTAAGTTGTTGGTCTAAGCAAAGAATAATGCAGAATGATTACGTATCATGACTTGTGATGCAATTATTATTTGACCAACACAACTTTAAGCTATCTCATTAATTTACTTCTTGCTGTTGTTTCAGTCAGCAGACCTTTACAAAAAGAGACCACTTATTACTTTGAATATGAAGACAAAAACAAACTTTAGTGTTATCCTTCTGGAGATTTTGTTGACTACTCACAACTGTGTCAGGGATTGAGCTAATGAAAGCTGAATTTTTCGTAATTGAATGACTGACTCATTTTTCATACATGTACAGAACTATTAAGAATTGGCGAATGACATCTGAAAGATGGAATATACAAATTTCCAGGTAGACGCTGTAAATATCGTGACTGCAGCAGTCAACGTTAGTTGCGCCAGTCGTTCAATAACTGAAGCAATTCGTCAGTGGCTTAAACTATAAATGCGTTTTATGCGCTCAAGCCTACTGGAACTTATGATAGTCTAACTCTTGCTGGAGTTTTATTGAGATGATCCTGATAACTATGATACATTTATAGTTGGTAAAACATCAAAAGACATGCAGAACGAACTCTTACCACCGCAACCTGGTGGATGACATTTTGACATCCAAAACTATAGCTATGAGTTATGAGTCTTAGTGGGAACACAGTCACTCCCTAAGAACTAGGTATAACCAGGCAACTAATCCTAAATTGGACGAAATGTGTGTCTTCGATTCCACTGCTAGCCCCAACAAAGTAAATTAGAGCAAACTTTTGTTTGAAAAAAGGTATCAAATTCAATCATCTGACATTTTCTTAAAGATACAGTTGGAAAGTTTTCTGGTTCTTTTCTCGGCTGTGTTAATAGACGCTCACGACTGGCATATAGTTTTTTTCTGTACATTTTAATGATATAAGTCTGCTTAGAGCTATCAAGTGATTGTATTCAAATTACACACACTTATCAATCAAAGAAGATATGATCGTAGTTATGCACTGAATGAATAATCTACCGAAAATTTGCTGTCATGTACACAGAAATTCAATTCTGCTGTTCATATTTCTTAACCTCATGGCGACCTGCTTAAACCTTAGGTTGCCAAATTTATTCATTGAACATTTTTCATCAAATTCTTTCTTTTCAATTTGTTTTAATCATTTAAATTTATCCTTTGAACGTATCATGTACTCTGACACTTTTTAAACTGTTTTCAACTCTCCATTTCTCGAGTTCATCATAAAGCAGAGAAAAAAAATATTATGAAGTACAAAAAGTAAATCATATTTCTATCCATCAGATACTTAGCTTGAATTGCAGATTTTTGTACCGTCTGAATGAACCACAATCATCAAAATTACGCTTGCATTTCTGTTGATTCTTCACTATGGACCCAGCGACCATCCAGAATCAGCTGACTATTTCATATTATTGCCTTGAATACTGTTATTATTAACATCATATAGATGCAATAACCATTTCGTCTGAAAGTATTGTTGTTCTAGGAGTGAATTTGTTGAAAAATTATATGCTGAGAATTCCATACTGTCATACCTGTTGTTCAGAATAAAGCGATCATTATTATTATTGTGAAGATAAGTTGACTAATTGTTTATTTTGAAGGTAAAATATGAATTCCAAATAATTCACTAGACGTTTCATCAATTAAGGATTACTTGTGTGGGGTGGATCGTTATATACTAGTTTGTTCTTCAAGTTCTAAAATGGTATATGTAGCATACCAGATGATCAGTATTCATAGTGGATAGAGAAATGCGCAACTGAATTTACGCTAAGCAATAAAGACTTTAGGTAATCTAATGCAAAGAGACGAAAAGGAAAATCACCGAAGAGAATTTAAGAAAAGCATTATGTTATAATTTGTTAGTGGCGATAGCTAGTAGTGGGATCCGAGTAGCGTGTTTCCTCCTCTTTGTAACTCTTTGGATGAATAAATCAATAGCCCATTGAGTGGTAGTATTCTTACTGAGGTTAAAACCCAAATAGGATGACACATGCATCCTGGATCCTACTGCTAGCCACCACCAACAAATTACTGCATAAAGAATATGCAGACAACGTTGAGGCATGCGCATAGGAGCACTGGTGCCAATAAAGATCAGTCACGCTGGCTCAATATAACATCGGGAAATCACGGTTACTGATAAATAACCTAGCAAAGCGTATTTTCACGGCACGACTCATCAGGGACTGAAACCAGTTGAGAACTATTGGAAACCTGAGAGCATTGGATGCCTGCTTCCTTCCATTGTGGAACTGTCCCTCACAGCACACTCACGACCCTGCCAGGAATCCTAATTCTTCTGCTACAAAGAGGCATTTATTAATAGGAACTGTAAGCACCTTAATTATCTACGTCACTGAAGAATGTGTCTTCGGCGAACAGGCATTCAAACCAACACCAATATTGGTGCATTCATACAAATCATTGTGCTGTCTAACTTGTTCAAAAATGTCTTCCCCAAACAATATATTTAATGATGGTGGTATCCTTGATTCTGTTATGATTTTCAGTCGGAAAATTGACAGTCAATTCTCAGGCGACAATCCAGTTTCAGCTATCAAATTATGGCATAACATAACAAAGCAAATGATCGATGATTGTAATTACATTGGGAAAAAGCGCTGTTTAACAGTCCGATATGAATGTCTTGTATTGTATCCCGAATTGCAATTGAGGCGAATTCTAAGTAAGTCGGAATGCAGTTGAATTTATATGCTTAGTGATTATGAGATTATCACGAGATTATTATTTTTCGATTCTTTATTCAACGGTTTTCAATGTGAGACAAATAACATGAGTAAAGCCTCACGGCTTTCACTATGTACTGATCAGTGAGGTTTTGATTTAACAGACTGTACTTCAAGGTCATGAGCTTTTGATAGTGACGTTGTTTCACACAGATATGAGTCACTGGGATTGACTGAAACGAGTCAATCTTCACTCACCGACTTGTCACTACCCAAATCCACTCGGTTGTGAAACGCTTCAAATGAAAGTCTCAAACAACTTGTTTGTGATTAGCCCATGCGATATGCTTACCGATTGTTTCTCTAAAGCCAACAAATGTTAAGACAGATTCACAGTTTCCCAAGACATCCATTGGTGTTAATATAGTGTAGGGAAGACAAAGACTAATGTAGTCAAAACTGTTTGGCAATTGGGTCAACGTCACCTGCTGTTATAATACTTCTGTCTGATTAACTGAAACTGAGCTAAAATAATTTCAAAATAAACCTTTCGGATAGGGTGGTCAACTCACAAACGACTGAGAAATTGGGCAGTCCACGTTGAGATTTTCCGGAGTTGAGTTGATTTTCAGCTGCCTAACTCTGATGCCAACAGGGTCTCCCTCGGAAACCACTCATCAGTCAAGATCACAAGGTGTGATCTCTGATATAAAAGTGCCATGACGTAACGAAATATACACCTGAACAAGCTGAGTAGTTAGAGGCCAGTTAGGCTGACCTGTAGATTTCACCAATCAGAACATAGTCATGTACACACTGTAGTAGTCGTTTCGTGTTATCTGGGCTTTCACAGTCTGTTACGGATATCTCGCCAGCAGATTTAGTGACATTAGGTTCAGTTCAATTGTGAGGTCAGGTCTTTCGACTTTCTCACGTTTTGCAGTGATTTCATTGGCTAGTGCTTCACTTCATTATCGAAGAAATGAAGCAGTCAGTTGACAGTCTCTGAGACATCTTGGATGAAGGATAGAAGATAGTGTTTTATCGAGTTGAAGCAAGTGTATTGTAGTCTATTCTTCAGACAAACATTTAATGATGAAATTGAGTGAGTGGATGAAAATGCAAATATGGTGTCTTTCGGTGAAATTCGAGGTTGAGGTGGTTAGGTTGTGACGAACTTTTCCCTGTCAACTATGAATTGGACAATATTTGAGGTCAGCAAGATACTATAAAGATATTCGTTTTTATGTAGTACAAATGAAAATGGGAAGTTTCCATCTATTGAATTTGCTCAACAGAATATTTGGCTAGTTAATGACACTTTTGTGTCAGAGATTATATCTTGTGATCTTGGTTGATAGGTGGTTTGCAACGTCAGTCCTGTTGACAGTAAAGCTGGGCGTTTGGAAAACTACTCAACCTCAAGAAATGTGAATCATTTGTAGATTTATCATCCTACTAGATTTGAGCCACACCATGTAATTCAGGTAGCTAGATTCATGTGATCCAAACTAATTCGGTTGTTTGGACTGTTTCTCCGGGTACACGACTGATGACCTCTACCCTGAACTTGTGAAACGGCCATCCAGTGCTAAGATATCTGTGATGTTGCTGGGGAAATCTAAAGATCAGCCTTAACGCTTTCTGACTACTCGAGCTGTTCAGTAGTATATAGACGTTTCATAGTTAGGAAAGGAAAGTAAGGGTCAAAGTACTTTTCCTGCTGACTGCGTGTATTCGATTTTATTTTAGTCCGTCAGCATTAGAAAATTATCTGGAGATCAAATTAACCCTGTTTATAGAATAAGCAGCAAATTTATGTTATTACTATAGAAAAAAGCTCACCACAGGTTGATATAAGTTTACTCTCAGTTAAACAGATGAAGACGGATTTATAAGAAACCGCCTGACGAAACTACTTTGTTCTCCTAAAACTTATATATATATATATATATATATATATATATATATATATATATATATATATATTAGCCATCAGGTGCCTGCAAAAAAGCAAATCTATCCTGACACCTGACTGTTTGGCTTTTTATATCACCTGATATTCAGTTATAAATCTTCCTACATGTTTTGAAGGAACGCCTAAACATCAATGTCTACGTCTGTTAGCAATCGGCAGTAAGCTTTTTTTCGAACTCGGTTTCGTGCCTGCTGGCACTCTTTAGTAAAGCGCATAAGCGATCTTGGCCGAACTGATGTTTTGCATGTGGTGCGAACCAATGTCAGCCAGTGTTGCAGTTAGAGTCGTTACCAGTGAGCTATTCGGGGTAAGACTGACCTCCTGCAGGAATGAATTAAACACACTAACCAGAAACTATCTAATTTAATATTTTTTTAGCCCTGAACGCTGACTGAACTCTTTTGATTTCTTTGTAACACGGGCTGGAATCTCTGAAGGAACAACAGTTTCATAGAGGTGGTAGACATGCCTTACTGAAGAGTCTCCATGATCACAAAATATTGTCCTGACAGGGCTTCCTGTCGATAGGTTGCACCCATATAACAGAGTGTACTGTGACTCCGTCTCTTTGCTTAGTGAACACAAAATAATCCATAGAACTCGGTCAGTTCCCAAGACTAGAGAATATGAACTACTTACTTTCAGCGACCAATCAATGTTTGTCTCTAACAGTATAAAATTTCTGCCTCTATTTTACAGAATTTCTTGATCTGCCTTGGGATCCTGTATTGTTGAAGCATGAAAACGTTGTTCATAACATTTCCAAACTCAACTTGTAAGTACTGATTATTCATCATTTATTGATATGTCTCGCTGAAACCTACTGCACTTGTGACTTTGATGACTGAGTGGTCTGACGCGTTAAGCAATGGATTCTGACTTGAAATCTGATTGAAAATGTAATAACAATGCAATTACATTCTGCCGGTGACACCCCAGTAGGACGAAACGCATATCAAAGGCTCCACCTGTTCCCACTATTGAACAAAAAAATTATTGCTAAGTTGCTAACATTTTCTTGTTTAATATCTATCACTTGTATGCTAAATCTTTACTCGCATATGAGATGTTATTCACTGCCACTGCAAGGTAGATTCTCCAAAAATATGATGTAGGTGGTTCAAATTAATGGCTTAGTACACAAGAGGTCATGATAAAATTGAACTTTATAAAATGAACTTTAAGTTTTTCCTATCAAACTACTAGTCAACAGGCTAACATGAACTGAAACATAAGCTAGACTTATTAATCATCTTACGTTGGATATTCAATGTGCTATATACCAAATCATTCCTAAATATCTATGTTTAAGTCAGAGCAGAAATAGAACATGCCAGTAAGCAAGAAATTCAAAGAGCACTTGAAAAATTACACAATATCAGCTATAACATGGAAATATAAACTAATGAAGAAGTTTGATCAGAAAGATTATGATCTCATTAGCGAAAACTTACGAAAAGCCAAATTGTCTACTTTTAAGAAGTCAGAGAACATAGAATTAAAAATTCAACCATTTGAAGGAAGAAAATTGTTGAATGAGGAGTAATGAGATCAGTATTAATATGTCAATAGACGATTGCATTGAAAAAGGATCTCAATATTATTGTAGCAGTGAGTCGAAATTGAATTCATGTCCATAATTATCCACATGGATTGAAATGAGTGACGAAATGTCATGGCGTTTAATAGCCAATTGATGTTAATGTAAGTGACGAAGGCGAAGAGGGTGACTGCTTTGTCCAATGTAGTATTGACTAAAGTTATTGCAGTTGATTTTGTAAATGATATTCGGTTTGTCTTCTTTAGCTGTTGAATCCTTTGGTCTGTATAATAGTGTTTGGAGGGAATTTTTTTTTGGTTTATTAGCCACACCGATTCCATGTGGTCTCTGTAATCTTGTTGTGATTTCTGATATATTCTTTATTTACTGTAGGATGATGTGTTTGTTGATTTCTGCCGATGACTTTTTAGTTGATGTTTTACGGGATAAGCATCTTCTTATAAAGTTTCGTGGGTAGCCGTTATTCCTTAGGATAACTATAGTCAACGCTACATTGGACAAAGTTGTCACCATCTTCTGATTCGACTACATGAACACTAACTGGCTATTAAATGTCACGATATCTCATCAGTCATTTCAATGCAAGTGGATAATTATGGACATGAATTTACTTTTGACAATGTAGAAATCTTGAACGGAGATAGGAAACACAAAGAATTTCGGAGAATTCCAATGTACACTAATACTAAGGAACCAGAAGAAAATAAGTCAAAAATATAACAAAATAAGCAATAAAAGTTTTACTGATAAGAATACAAAAGTAGCCAAATTGGATAGAGGTAATTAGACAGTAACACAAGACAACTCTGTTACGTTAAGAAAGTTAATAAACATATTGAAACGAGACTGTATAAATTAGTTTAATAAAGAAAGAGATATGAGGAGATCGATAGCCAATTCTTTGTCTGTCGAATGGAAGCAACGCAAACTTATTCTACTGCCGATATTTCAGCAGAATTATAGAGACTGGACCAGAAATGTATGTTATTATCAATTCATGATGCAATCACAATAAATAAATTGTGGTTAAAACGTCATTCGTTAAATTATACTCATTTTCTAATAAGAAGGGAACAATTAATATCTATTAATGATGGATCGTGGCTAACAGTGGAATCCAGGATGCGCGTTTCGTCCTATTTGGGACTCGTCAGCTGGATGTACCTGATTCCCAGTGAGTGACATTGTTCCCACCAGAATTCGGACTCAGGAGCGATCGCTTCAAACGCCAGGGCCTTATCCACTACAACAACGAGCCACGATAGCCACTTTTTGTGCGACGGGTATAGTTTTAGTATAATTGTTTTTATATGATACCGTCGTTGCGGTGGTGTAGTGGATAACGCCCTGGCGTTTGAAGCGATTGCTCCCGAGTCCGAATCCCAGTGGGAACAATCACCTGGAAGCAGGTACATCCAGCTGACGAGTCCCAAATAGGACGAAATGCGCATCTTGGATTCCACTGCTGGCCAAGGTCCAT